CAATCAACCAGAAGATCGAAACAACAGACCGGTCGCTCAACGCGACAAAACATAGACTCCCATTTCCAACCCTTGAAGCCATTCCAGAAGGATACCATGGGTGATAGTACTGAAAGCTGCAGAGACGTCAAGCAGAGCAAGCACTACCGCTATCCTGCTCTCACCAGAAATCATCAAAAAGTGCAAGCTGTGCATTTCCATCCTATACTAAGCCTGAACCATGACTGGAAAGGGTCTAGAATCTAGATAATCCATTTCATCCAGAAACCTCTGGAGCTGCCACACAATCAATTCAACAACCAATTCAACTCTGAATTACAAATGTTCTCATGAATGAAGGTGAATATACATGTCCCAGGATAATGTTGCAGGATCCAATCTGGGTCAATCACCAGGACCAGAGATTTTGTCTTCCTAGCTTTCAAACTTGTGCTGGTGCACATCTTCAGGGAACTTCTCCAGAGGTGGGCTGCACTTACATTACCAACTGGTTCACTGGTTGTGAGTGCTCGCATGCTCGCTATGCTCTCACGTGCTCCTTTGAGAGTGAAACGAAGCTTCAAACATGCAGTTAATCCACTTAGACAGCTCCGGTGAGTACAGCAGGGGTGGTGCGGAACCCAGCTGGGCAGTGTGGGCGGGGGGAATGAGTCAAAAAGTTATATATGGAATGGATAGTGCAGGGGCGGGTGGGCAGGCCCAGCCAGTGAACACAACTGCAGGTTCGCCCGAACCCATGCTACCATGCAGCAGTCCACCGCTGAACTTCTCTCTACAAATATTCTCTTTTACTGGTACTTCAGTCTTGTTTAGGATGATATTCAGGCTGAAGAGCACAGTAGCAACTGATTAATTTGTTCAGTATCAACTGTAGATCACTGTTTTTGTGTGTCTAAACAAAAGTTATCAGCAAAGAGAATTTCTTAAATGACTGTAGGGAGGCACTTTGTCCATATATTTAATCATCAAAAGTCAAAGAATGCTGCCCAACTGGTACTTCCTTCAGACTATGGGTAGCATATGACAATATGAAAGTGAAAAACAGATTGAATAGAACTGGGACTAACATTCAAACTTGTTTTATCCCATTGCAAATGGCAAAAGCACCTGATGTACTCTGTGAATACAGTTGATACAGTAAGTCACTTGGTGAGAGACTTCTTTTTGAAGGCCTTTCTGATTTTGATCCTCACTGACAATTTTAACAGGCTTTAGTTGTAATACTCTACAATTGTGCAAATTAGTGCTACCTGTTCACCTGATCTTTCAACATCTTCTTAGCCAGCTAAATGATCCTCAGCTCCAGTTGGAATAGAATACTTTATTGGCCAAGTGTGATTGGACACACAAGGAATTTGTCTTGGTGTAAATGCTGAAAGGCATTATTAATTATTGACGGAACCATAATCGCTGCACTCATCTGTTTGTAAGGCAGGCTTCTCTTCCATCAGATCTATTCCAGATTGGCTAAAATTAACAATGATTTAGCTTGTCAAAACTTTAGGAAGGATCTATTGGTCCTGGGATGGGAGAAGGAACAGCCACAGGAGCAGGTTTACTCGCCACTGAAATAGAAGTAGGCTTTGATTCTAAATCCAGAGCCTCAATTATCGTCACAGCCAATAGCCTCATTTAATCTTCTGGGGTTCAGTTCAAAATTTATTTTTATTCTTCATTTTATACTACAAGAGTTGACCTTTACTCCCAAATAGCTGCTTCTTCAAGAAGAACTTTGTTGCAAGGTTGGCTTGTTTAGTGGAATCATGAACCACTGACTCCAATGTATTGTACCTCAAAGGCCTTGGAGGTAACTATGAGTTATAAAAAAGTCATGATCTATTATGTGAGTTCTGCTGTTCTACTTAATTTATTAACGCCTTATTTTAAACAATG